GTATTTTTGATATTTTTTTTTAGTTTTGAACTATATGATTCTTGTTGAAAATTAATATTATTTTTTGCTAACTCATATACTTCATAAAGACTAGTTTTTGCTAATTCTTTTTGATCATTAGTTGCAAATTTTAATTTTTTTTATACAGATTTAATAAAGCTGCAATTAAAGTTTCTTTTTCAATTACTTCATAATAATATTCAAGTGCTTTATAAAGATCTGCTTTAATTTTATCTAAAAGATTAAAGGTATTAATAGAAGTATTTATTTGAATTTTTTGTTTAACTTTAGGTTTATTATCTTCGTTAACTTCTTCAAATTAATATTCTTCAAATGCATTATTATTTGTTTCTAAATCTACATTACTATTATAAAATTTTTTGGTTAAACAAAAGAGTTTTTTGAGTTTAGTAATACCTGAATATATATAACTCATAGTTGTATATTTTGTGCCTTCTAATTTTTCTGTTTATTCTGTAAAAGGTTCTAAGATTTCAAGTAAATCTCTTATAACATCCTACTTATCATTAGTAAGATTAATTTTTTTTAATCTTTTTACATCTTCTTTAGCATCATGATCTTAACTTACATTTAATGAAAAAATAACAATTTCAATATAAGATTTTAAAATTATTAATTTTTTCCATGCTATAAATATGCTTGACTAACATGTTTTAACATTTGTAATTGCCTTATAAAAAACCATTTGTAAATCACTTTTCTCTTCTGGATTTTTTTTAAAATTTTTTTTGTGCATCTATAAGACGTTTATTTTATTTAGGTGTAATGAAAAACTTGATTAATCTTTTTGCACATGTAATTAAAACTTCAGCAATAAGCAACACTTTTCTAATAACCAGTTGAATTGTATATGCAGTACATGATAATTGTTTTAAAAAAGTAATTTGATTAAAACATTTTTTCATATTAAAAGCATTATTTGTCATACAAAAGAAAACTTTGTCTTATAATTCCCAATCAAAAATAACTTTTTCTAATGCACTTTGAATAGCATTTTCTGTATGTGGATATGGCATATATTGAATAGCTAAAGTTATCTCTTTCATCTCAAAATCTGATATAATAAAATGACATATAATACCAAGAAGCTTTTACTTACTATAAGAAATTCAAAGATCACAGGTCAATAAAACTGAATTTGCATTTTTATGAATGTATTGCTTTAGATACTTTTTTGAAAATTCATATACTTTAAAAATTCTTTTTCAAAATTCTTTATCAGTTGAAAGTTCAAAGTTTTTATTTAATGCATTAATAAATTTACGAAAAGAAGAAGATTTTAAGAGATAAAATAGTTGAAAATCTAGAATAAGCTATTCAAAAAGAAGAGTTTCCAAATGTTTTTGTTGATCTTGTGTCATTTGTGAAAGTGAATCTGATGAAATAGTATTGTAATAGGATTGGATTGATGAACGTGACGCAGCATATTGCAGATCTAAATATCAGACATATTTGATATATTTGATATACTGGACATATTTGATATAATTGATATCTTGGACATATCAGACATATTAGATATATTTGATTTATTTGTTATATCCATCTATGTATTAATTTAATATAAATAGAGAGCAATAGAATCATGTAAACAGTAGTTCACTTTTAGTTCACTTTTAGTTTTCCTTTAGTCTTGCTTTTAGATACACATCTAGTAGTTCTTGTAGAGGCGCCTGGCCTAACATCTCACTTAGTACTCTAAACCTTTTAATTTCTTTTCGTATTACTTCTTATTTGCCTATTTTTCTATTATTATCTTATATCCTTATTATTATTATTATTATCAATAAACAATTATTAATTTATTTAATCAACTTTGTTATTTCTAATTTAACGATAATAAATTATTCAAAAAGAATGATTGGTTAACCTGAATTTTTATCAGATCAGGTCAGGTCAGATCGACCTATTGACCTAACCTAACATCAACCTGAAAATCTATTAACTTGATCTGAATTTTCAGGTCAGTTCAGATTAAGTAAACAGGTCAATCTGATCTATTTAGAGTTCTAGTTTAATTGCTTCTGATTTTATGTACGTAATGTTTATTAGACAAGTAATGAAATAATTTATGATGAAAAAGTTATTAATAATAATTATATTTTATAAGTTTATTAATAAATTTTTATAATTATTTCTAATATTAATTTATTTATAAAAGTTATTCATATAAATTAATAATTGTATTCTATATTATTAAAAAATTTTATAAAATAAAAAAATGAAGAGAAAAAATTTTTTTAAAATTGTAATTTTTATTTTAGTTCTCGTCAAATAAAGTATGTTATTTTAATTACTTTTATCAAAAATTAATATTAATTCTTGAAGAACATGATATATTATTTAAAAAATTACTAAATAATACTATTAGTTATTTTTATTAGTATCATATAACTACGTAAATATAGCTTATATAATGATCAAATTTTCATAAAATAAACTTTTTTAACTTCTTTTTTTCTTTTATATTCACATTTTTTATCATAATTTTTTTTTTAAAAAAAAGACTCCTTTATTTTGTATATTGAAATTTACTAGCAATGATGGTTTTAAAAGTTTTTTGTGATTTATATTGTAAAAAAAAAATTTTTTTAATAATAAAAGTAGAGCTTTCTTTAAATAGATAATATCTTAGAATAAATTCAGATTATCTTATTATTTATATTATATCTAAATAATATTGAATAGTTAACCAGATCTACAAATCTATAAATGGATAAATCTTAGGATTATTCAGATTATCCTAGAATAAATATAATAATCAGCATTTATATTGCATATAATAGAAAACTTTAATTTTTTTTTCATATAAATAACACATTTTTTTTATTTAAAAAGAACAAAAAGAAACAAAATTAAAGAAATAAAGAACTCATTTATAAATATTATTTCTAAATATGTCAACTGAAAAAACTTCAGTAAAAAGTTCATTGTCTGAAAATAATGATAATATTAATTATATTGATATAATCGATGATAATATTTCAGAAAAGAAAACAAATATCTTTGAAAAATTAGAAGAAAAAACTGATTTATTAAATATTCAAATTAAAAGTAAAGGAAGCTCAAAACTTTATAGTTGAATATATAATTGGAGTGAAAGAAAAATTCATCCAACAGATTCAAAAAAATTTATATTTAAATGTAATCAATCATTAGATAATGATAAAATTTGTATAGCAAAAATAGAGACATCAGGTTCAACTAATAATATTATTAGCCATCTTAGATGAAAATATAAAATTTATAAATATTCTATATCTTTAAAGACTACATCATCTTTAAAACAAATTACAGTAGTGGTCATAAGTATCTGACTGCTCAAGATCGTCTAAAATTATTATATAACTACCCTTAAATTTTTCAGAAATATAATATAATACAATACATGATTACCTGTAAATTTATAAGTATCAATGATACAAAAAAAAAATTTAGATGATCATCAAACTTTTGCTTGAAAAATGTAACTTTTTTAGAGAAACAATATGAAATTGTCTTTTTGTGTGAACATCCAACTGGTCCAAAATTTAGTTTTAGATTTATTGCTAAACAGATACGTTATAGTAAGTCTATAGCTATTTATTGGATTAAAAGATATCATGAAAATTGGGACCTAAGTATTTCAGAAAGACCAGAACGGTCTTATATAATATCTGCGAAATAAAATGACAAGATTGTAAAGATAGTAGAGAAGAAACATAATATAACAGTCATTCAAATACAAGAAAAAATAGAAGAAAGAGGTGTTGGGCTTAATATAGAAACAGTAAGGCGACGTCTTCATAAGTCTGGAGAAAAGTTTAGTAATGAAATTTCTTAAACTTTGCTTAAAGAAAACCATTAAAAGAAAAGGTTGCAATAGGCAAAAAAATATAAGAATTTTGATTGGAATTGAGTTATTTTTACAAATAAGAGTACATTTCAATTATATACATCAAAAAAAAGGTTTGGCGGTTTTCTGATAGAAAAAAAGTATTTCGTTCTGTTAAGCATCTACCAAAAGTTCATGTTTGGAAATGTTTTTCTGCTTTTGGATTTAATAAGCTATTTTGTTTTCAGAGGAACCTTAATGCTGAATTTATGTATACTATTTATGAGCAGGGTCTTCTGGCTTTTACCTCTAAAACTTTTTGGTGAAAGTAATATAGATTGAATCTTGCAAGAAGATAATAATCCAAAGCATTAATCAAAAATCATGAAAAAATAGAAGGAAAAAAATAGCATTGAGATACTTTCTTGACCATCAATGTCTCCAGACCAAAATCCTATAAAAAACGTTTAGAGGTTAATGAAAATTAATATACAAAAAAAAATTTTGATCAATTAGAGGGTTAAAGAGGAACTTACAAAAGAATGGAACTGATTATCACCTGTACTTGTCACGAATTTGGTAACTAGCATGAAAAGGCGTACAGCTGCATTTATAGAGTCAGATGGTGACTACACAATGTATTAATTTTAGTTAGTTGATTATGTATTTTTTAAATAAAAAAAAATTTTTGAATTTACTTACTTGTAGTCGGAGTTAGAGGCGGTCGGATACTTATGACCGCTACTGTAATACAAATTAATCCTGTTTATGAAATAAATTTCGATAAAATAAGTGTTAATAAAATAGTTTTCAGGTAAGTGAATACAAATGTTTGAATATTTGAATATCAGGTTATCCATTAGAATATCAGGTCAATAATCTAGTTGGTGATAACTGGATAATGCGATTTCGAATTGAATGATTCAGAACACTAATCGATGAAAGAAATAGTAAATCTCATGAATGTCAAAAAATATTTATATTTCCTTTGTGGTCGAATATTATAAGCGAAACATCTTTATTATATTCCTAAGAAACTTGTTCATTAGATAAATTTTGGAATTGAAATTGTACTAGTATGCATATAAATATATAAAGATCATTGCTTGCTATCAAAAATTAAGTATGTATCTATTAAAAAAAAACCACACGTATACAAGAAATAATGCAAGGAGTTGTTGAAATAAAACAGGATGACTTGTAAGTATTGTATTTTGTTATTATAACATGCTTCTTACATTATACTTCCACTCAACACCTCATAATTCTAAGTAATTATATATTTGAATTCACTAGTATCAAAAGTTTAAATATTTAACGAAACTTACCGGTATAAATGTTCTTAAAAATCTATATAATTAGATACTGTGGAATAATCATATTCGGGTATCGTTTTATAACTTAAAACTATTTTATCATTTTTATTGCTACAACACGTATTTTTCCTCAGACCAATATATTCTGACTGAATACATTTCTTCTTATCGAGGTACTTCTCCATTATTTTTTTTTTAAAAATAATTCATTATCTTGATCAAGACATTCCATAGCTTGAGCTTTCGATGATATCGATGATTTGTAATTATAATCTAAACAAGGAAACCTTGCCAATTTTAGGTAAATTCTTTATAATGGGTACTTTGACAAATATTATTATTTAAATAAGATCATCATCATCATGTTTGTCAGATGTCGATTTGCCAACCTGCTTAAGGCATTATAAGATCGGCGCAAAATAGGCCCATAATTTAGGCCAGTCGTCATCTGACGCAAAATCGTCATCTGAGGCAACAACATAAATATACAATTTATACAAAAGATTGAAACTTCAGACTACCCCTCCTGCCATTGCATATTAATAGAAAAAAAAAAAAACTCAAGAAACTCGCTCAAAATTATCATATCTTATCATCTTATCCAATTTTATATCCAACTTCTCGTTTCTATTCTCTTTGCAAATATTCAATTTATTTCTTGAAAATATGGGAGGTAAGCTTCGATTTTAATAGCAAACCTCCCATATGGTCAAATGAACTGCTAGCCAAATCCTTAAGAGTCCTATCAACAAGGAAGTCAAGTTATCTGACGTTAATATTTGGGGATACTTTATATCTTTGCATGGTGTTATTACTTTGGATAAAAAATTTACATGTTCGGTGACCACGAGGAATTAGAAGAAAATGTAAATTAATTGAATAATTTAATTATTAATTGATTTATTTGAACCAAAAAAGTTTATAATTAAATTTTTTTATAATTTTTATAACGGTACATGCATTAGAAGGTTTTGGAGAGATATTCTTTGCAGGAATTCACTATGTGAGTTATTAACTTTGAAAATTCATAATCCGTTTTATTATTCATTTCAAATCTTATATTTTTATTTTTTTATTTAGGATGAAAGAAACGGGGCCACATTCGAAAGTTTAAGGTTTTTGAACTTTAAACATAATAATAATTTTCATGTTTATTTACAGTAGTTTTATGTAAATTCAAATAATCGCCAAAGATGGAACACAAATAAAAAGAAAGAAGTGGGAAAAGGTGGCGCTTAAAGAGAGTTTTCGATTTACAAGATGGGATTCTCTTACGATTTAAAGATGTAATTTCAATTTATTATAAGTTTTGGATCGACATTTTATCTTAATCTATCGTTACATGATAGATGAATTTCGCACCGCAAATTTCTCGCAATGCATTTGTAATAACATAACAGTAAGTCTTTAAATTCTGAATTTAAAAGGATAGTTTTTTGTATGTTTTTGGACATGCGGAACATTACTTTGTATTCTGATTTATAATTATTGATATAACTTTCATTTGATCTTTGAACTCATAATTTTATTTACTTTTTAATTTAGAATTATGATGAAGCTAATCAAGGTACAACTAATTCATAATATTGTGAATTCTTACAGAAATTACTAAGTTATTATTTCGACATATAAATTAAGTCTTTCGTCCGGTAGTTTGAGTGTAGTAAATTGTTTTCTACACAAATATGGGAGGTAAGCTATTATAATCACGTTACGGATCATATGATTTACTATGTTTCGAAACTTGATTAAATAGCAAACCCCTCATATGAGTTCGTATAAAGGCTTGGAGGGTATATATTATATTTTAATTTATGTTCTTCATTTTATTAATTACTGATTTATTTATCATTATAATTAGTGGTGGATTTGGAAATGTCCATCTCGTAAGGAAAATTGATGATGGACAATTATTTGCGGCGAAAGTTTCTAAAGCTTCATTGCAAATGGAATACCATGCAATGAAAAGAATTGAAAGATTTGGTCTTTTAATAATTTAATATATTTATATAGAAATTTACTAATATATTTTTTTTCTTTATAGGCCTGAGTCGTGAAAGCACGTGAAGCATTTCACGATAATCAATACTTGATAATGGATTGGTATGTCGTTTATTATATATCGTTTGATTTAAATTAATATGCTAAAGACAGTTTTACTTTTATTTTTATAGGGTCAGGCACAATTCATTATCGACATGGATCCAGAAAAAAGCCAAGCTGATGGTGAAATTCTGAGAAATATCATAAGAAGTCTGGTGCCTAATCTGAAAGTTAGCATTATATTAATTAATAGATTTATAATTATTTTGTGATCATTAATATTAATTTATTCCGTATTTTATAGTTAATCCGTGAAAGAGGATGGCTTCATAGATATATTAAGCCAGACAACATACTTGTGGCAAATGAAAGACCTCTTACATTGTAATTAATTTTTTTAAATACAATTTTTAATTTATTTGCTAACTAACATATATTTATCCTTAATAAACCTCAAAACGCATCTGCAGATTGGTGGTCACTAGGACACCTGTTCTTTAGTATTTATAAGGTAAGTTGTTTGTTGCAACCTGTAAAGATAGGTTTAAATAGATATTGATCACAGGTTGCAGCTAATTAAGAAATGGAACGAACCTGATATAAATAGAATGATAAAAGCGGGCATTCGGATGGTAATTAATACATTTGTAATTTATTTTTATTATTTAATGAAATAATATATTAACTATTTATAATTCATAGTTGCAGAATTCATAGTAGCATATATTAAATTGGATATGAAGGAACAATAATACGAAAATATCATGTAATTATTTTTTTTTAATTTTTGTTTATTCTAATAATTGATACAAGCACTAAATATAATATTTCTTTTTATATAGAAATGCAGGAAAAGGTGGACGAAGATGGCAAATAATGAGAGAAATTATCTCAGATATAGCATTGCAATTACACCTCGTATGGATTTATCACAAACAAAACAGGGAGAGGAATGAATATTTCTATTATTATAAAAAAAAGTTCTAATAGTAGAAAATACGCACATTCATAAATGAATAAATTCTATTGAATTGCTGTCTTAACCTTGTAAGCTTTGATACGTTGTTAATTTTCAGTTTCATAAATTACCCTCAATACATGGAATTCATAATGGAATGATGTTGATGTAAATTAACGATGTAATTAAAATTATTTCGAATAAAAGATTGTAAATTTATTTAATTGGAATATTTGCAAAATTTAAAATATAAAATTTAGTAAAATTCTATTTTTTTTTTGATAGTTCTATCAGCGCAAAAATGTATATATTAATAATAATTATCTATTATCTATTATTTTAAGGTTTTGACATTTCAGACATTCTTATAGAATTATATAGGAAAGGAATAAATTAGCTGGATATGCAATAAATAATATAAAGAAGAATTAATTTCTATTTTTTAATATAATTTAAAATATAAATTATTATCACGTGTCTTTAATTTTATTGCTTAAAAATCACGCGATAAAATTTTTTAAGTTTAATAAATACGATCACGACCACGACCAACTCCACCTCTTTCATGACCATCTAATTATATTATTTATATGAAAACTACATTTTAAATGAAATTTCTGATGATATTATAATAATATTTATTCTTACTTTCAGCTGATTTATTATTTTCTTGAACTTTTCGGTATGAGGACATATAGGACATTAATGCGCCTTAGTTTGGAGACTCAGACGTCCGATCAATAGAACATTAAAAAAAAAAGATTTTCATGAGTGCGTAATTCTTGAGAGCCCTATCAACAAGGAAATGATGTTAAGACTTGGGGATATTTGATATCTTCAAACGATGTTATTACTTTAGATAAAAAGTTTCATATATTTGGTAATCACGAGGCGTTAGATGGAAATGTAATTATTATTGTTATGCATAGATTTAATTTTTGGTTGCTTTTTATAAACAAAAAATTTATTTTTTAAATTTTTATATATAATTTTCAATTTCAGTACATTAATTTCGAAGGATGTGGAGAGATATTCTTCGCAGGAATAACCTATGTGAGTTATTATCACTGAAAATTCGTAATCCGTTATTTATCAATTTATTTTCAAACATTTATTTTTATTTTTTATTTACAGGACGAAATAGACGGGGTCAAACTCGAAAGTTTTATGGTTTGTAATTTTTTAAACATTATCTAATTTATTCAAAATTTATTTACAGCTTTATATAATTTAAATATTCAGTCAAAATGGAATTCTAAGGAAAAAAAAGAAATGGGAAAAGATGGGAGTTAAAGAGAGTTTCCCGTTACAAGATAGATGCTCTTACAATTTAAACGCCATCAAGAATTTGAAATATGTAAGTACAATTTAAGTTGAATCATGAAGTTCGTTTTGCAGCATTGATTTCAACAATAATACCATCGTTACATGCATTTGATCTAGATGAATTTCGTACCGCAAATTTATCACAGTGTGGTTGTGATAAAGTAACGGTAAGTTGTGCTTTAAAGTGCGGGATTCAAATTATTTAAAAGGACAAACATTATTTTTTAGACGCTCTTTCATAAAAACTTTGAAATTCTGATTTATAATTTGATTTGACTTCCGATGATTGAACTCATAATTTTATTTTATTTATTTTTTTTTTAGAATTATAATGAAAATAATCAAGGTATAACTAAATCGGTATTACTGTTGAAGCCTTAAGGAAATTTTAATGTTTAATTTTGGTATATAAATTAGGTTGTTCGTCTGGAAGTTTAAGTGTAGTAAAACGTAATTGTTTTCTACACAAATATGAGTTCGTAAAAAGGCTGGGAGGGTATATATTATATAATATATGATTCAATTTTAAAAACTACTGATTTAACTTATCATAATTATTAGTGGTAGTTTTGGAAATGTCCATCTCGTAAGAAATATTTATGATGGACAACTTTTTGCGGCGAAAATTTCTAAATCTTCATTGCAAATGGAGTATCATGCAATGAAAGAATTACAAAACTTGGTCAGTTAATATTTTAATTTAATAAATAGAATTTTAACTAATATTTATTTGTCATTATAGGCCTACGTCGTGAAAGCACATGAAAGATTTCACGATGATCAATCAGAGAATGATTATTTGATAATGGATTGGTATGTCGTTAATAATTTATTATAATTTAAATTAATAGGTTGATGAAATATGTTACCTTTATTTTTATAGGGTCAGGCACAATTCATTATCAACATGGACGAAGCAAGACTATGTTGATGGTGATACTATGAGAAGTATCATAAAATGTCTGGTGCCTAGTCTGAAGGTTTGCACTTTTATATTATATTTATATTATATTAAAATAAATCTTTTATTTATTTATAATATTAATTTTATTCCATATTTATAGTTAATCCATGAAAGAGGATGGCTTCATAGAGATATTAAGCCAGATAACATACTTGTAGATAACGACAATCTCTTTCATTGTTATTTACAGATTTTGGATTAAGTTGCAAATTAAGCTCGAATCCAAGAGATGCGAAAGGGACACTATTGTTATGTAAGTAAATATTTTAAACAACTTTTTGTTATTTAATTTAGGTCTAATATTTGATGTATTTTACTTAAGGTGCTCCTGAGGTATTGCAGAAGAACCTCCAAAATGAGTCTTCCGATTGGTGGTCACTAGGACACCTGATATATTATTGCTATAAGGGAGGTTTTTTATTGCAGCCTGTGAAGATAGGTGTTAAAGATTTATTGGCAGAAATTGATTACCGGTTGCAGTTAATTAAGGATGGGAAGGAACCTGTGATTAATAGGATGGTAGAAAGAGGACTCACAGATGGTAATAAAAATATAAATATTGTTAATTTATTATTAAAAATTAATTAATATATATTAACGTTAACTATTTATAATCAAATAATTTCAGTTGTAAAATTCATACAGGCGTGCTTTAAATTGGATATGAACGAACGAACTTACAACAATATCATTGTAAATATCTTTGTTTTATTTCTTAATAAATTATCTATAAGATACTAACAAATATAATATTCTTTATATAATGTAGAATATTTAATGAAAAGGTGGAGAAAGATGATGATGTTTAGGAGTAAATTATTTAATCTCAAAATTTTATTATAGTAACTATTTTACCACATTGTTGAGTATTAGTGTGATATGAAAAGTTTCCTTGATTAATAAATATTGAGAATAAAATTCTTGATTTTTAGATGTGCACCTTTGATTCCTTTATATATTTAAAATTATAAAAAGTGAAGCACATGCTTTTTAGAGCAACTTTATAATTCTCCTAATTTGCTTGAGCTAATTTGTGAAATAGTTATTCAAGCACTATGGTAATGCTTCTATAAATATTGAAGCTTCTAAAACCAATAGTTTTATTTCTCTTATGAAAAGAACTTCTAGTATACTATATAATAGATCTTTTTTTATAAACATTAAATCATAATATCCAGTATATTAATAGACTTTAATATAAGGTTAAAGATTAGCACTTAAGCATAAGTATGTTTCAGAGAAAATTTTCTGGGATTAAACTTAAAGATATATATAGTATATGCATATAGAAATTAGATTTTTTTTTAGAAAAATGGTAAAGATTTGATTCTAGAATAAATTCCTACATATAAATAATAATAAAATCCTAAAAAAAAAAAATAAGTTTTTTAACTCAAAAATTTTTTTTAGAAAATTTTCAAAGGTGATATTTTAAAATTTTTTAAAATATACTTATTTAATAATATTATTTTAAATAATTAATATTTATTAATATTATATTATAATTATAAAAAAGATATTTAAATAAAAAAATAAATACTTTTGATAAAATATTTCTTTTTTTAATTTTTATTAATTATTTTAAATATAATTATATATTAATAATATATTATTATAATTTTCTTTCTACTATTTTTTTCTTTGTTTAATAAATCATTATTAAGGATTTACATTTTTGTAAAATATGCAATAATATACAGACTCAGATCAAAAGTCTTTGAATACAATTTTTGCATTATTTTACTCAAAATTCATTAATTAGAATTGCATCAAATTTTAATACATATTTGAATAATATCAAAGAATAACATAATAAAATTTAAGCTAATTTGAATTACTTTTTTTTTAAATACATGATAATGCTTTTATTTATTAAGTATAATAATAATAAGTAAAAAAATTATTATATGAAAATCCTTTAAAAAAGTACAGATGTAGAAAAATAAAAAAAGCTGCTTAATAAAAAAGAAGTTAAAAATCTTAAAATACTAGACCAACCAGTTGTTCTATTAGATTTTGATAATAATCACTAGTAGAATTATTATTATCTATCTCGAATGCGCTCAAAGAAGAGTACGTTAGCGGAAGAGTTATTTTTTCTGAGTAAGTTTTCAGAGGGGTCATGAGTTTAGTCTTCATTCATGTCGCTTTTGTCTTTGGGGGCGATAACCTCAATAATATTATCAGTTGAGGTGACTGGTGGAGGGTCGACTTCCATAAATTATATACAAATTAAATATATGATAACTAGTTATTACTACATTAGCAAAAGAGACTAATGACAGCTCTATATATAAGAAATTTTATCATAAAACAGATGATTATGTTATAAATATTGTAGGTGAAAAAATGTGAGTATTAGTAAAATAATTTTTTGAGAAAGTTGATGATGAGACAAGAAAGTCATTTTTTTTATAAAATTAAAAAAAGTAAGAGATCATTTATTGGTAAAAGTAACGGTGCATCTTGACTTTTATATAGAAATATAAATTTGAAGAAAAAGGAATTTATAAAGGGAGTAAAGAAATGTGTAAGTGAAAAAGGAAATCAAATAAAGAAATAGAGGCATTTGAAATAAAGTTATTATTATTAATAGGATATATCAAAATCATTATTATTAAGTTAGATTTCATATAGTTGTTAATTATTTGGTAATATTATTCATATATATATTGATACCTATATGAAGTCAATCTTACTGCACTATAAAGATTGACGAATAATCAATATTATTAATATCATTAGCATTTTTAACTTAGTTAACATTTATATTTATTTATTTTATTCTTATATTTATTATTATTATCTAATATATTATTACCATTGTTAAATTATAATTTATCTTTTATATTTATCTTAGCATTATAAAATAGTTTAGTGTTAGATAGTAATTTTTTATAATTGTATAAATAGGATAGAAATTTGTTCTTGTAAAAGGGCAGAGATAACAGTAATAACTCAATAGTTCAAGTTTAAGACTTAGAATCTAAGGTTAAAGATTGCTAAAGATACAAATCTCTATAATAAAAGAATCTCTTTCTAAATTATACATATTAAAAATTCTTCAACATGTCAATTATATTTATTGTATTTACAAATTGTTAAAGTTATTTTATTCATCTAAAGTATAAAACTAAAGTTAATTGTAATAGAACTTATTTCACAGTAACTTAGTAGTTTTTTACATATTACTCCCTGTTATTAAGTCATCATTATCTTAAGTTTAATAGGCTAAGCATAGGTTAATAAATTGGTTATTCCTGCCAGATTTATAATTATCTCTATTAAACTTATATAAATATAACCACTAGTTTTGACATTCTAAAAATAATCCAAAAACATCATAAAGAAGTACACAAAAATAATTTACCTTTAGAAAAAGACGCATCTTGTATGTAATACAATCCTACTAATTAAATAGTATCAAGACAATTTAATAACTTTTAGAATTAGATCTCTAGTAAATATAATATCACAACATTCAGTGATTATTCTTTAATAATATTTAAATTTTATTTAAATAGCTACTGTGAAAACGTTCATAATAGTAATAAAATAACTAAAGCAGCAGTTGTATTATTATATTGTCTAAATTATTACCTATACCCTGCTGATTTACCTTCTATTTTACAACATTTATTATTAGTTACCCACACTACTGAGTATTTTGAAAAATCTTTTAATACTTCTATCTTACCCCTTACTTTTACATCTATAACCTCTAAATCAACTAAAATGATAATAAATGTTGAACAGTTAAAGAATCTTATGAATTATATGATGAAAAGTTTCAAGGATCTTGTTAAAGATATCAAAAGTACACTATCTAATATAAGTGAAAATAATAGAAATCCTACATCAAAAGAAAGTAATGCTATCTCTGTAAAATCTTTCTATAGAAATGATGATAAAGTTCTAAATGATTGGATCAGAAGTTTCAAAATTGCTGCTGAAACAAATAATTGGTCTAAAAGTTGTATGCTAAAAATTGTATCAGGATATTTGCATGAACTGCTGCATATTAGTTTGAAGAAAATGTTGATACTATTACTAAATAGAATGCAGATAGTAATGCTGCTACAAGTTTTGTACCATTATTTTTAGAAAAATTCTCGACTGAAGAGAAGCAAAATCTATAGCACCATCAGTTGAATAAGCTTAATTAAGGATCTTATAAAAAGGTAAACTTCTATGCAGGAAAATTTAAAAGATTATTAAAAAAAGTTGACTCTGTTAAGGCTTTATCAAACAAATATACTGTGAAACTTTTTCTTAATGGATTAAAAAAGAATATTGTCTCTCTCGTAGCATTATCTTAACCTAAAAATATAGATAAAACTATTAAAGCTGCCAAATAGGTTGAGAGTAGCCAATATTATGAACAGCAATCTTTTTTACTAACTTAAGTGAGTAGAAGTAATAATGCTATTGATAAACTTACTAAATAAATAGAACAATTATCTTTAAACTATGTGACTCTTTCCAATGCATTGTCTGTACAACTTGAAGGAAAACTGAAAGAAGAAAGCTGAAAGATGATAGAAATCTTACAAAAGTTTGGGATAAAAAGAATGTTATTTATTTCTGTTGTCAAGAAAAAGGACATTACTTAAAAGAATGCATGTCTAAGAAGCCAGTATATCAAAAGAATTTAATAAAAAAGAAGCTAATTATGTTAGAATTTATACTGTTAGTGAAGAGAAAGAAGAAGAAGTAGAGGAGAAAGAAGTTAATGCACTCTTATGAAATAAATCTTATACTACCAATAGAAAAACTATATGACAATTGGAAGTAGAAAAAAAAAGGCAGTCTGAATCTAAAAGAGAATTAAATTTGAGAAGTAAAAAATCTGTTGATGAATTTATAAAAGTAGAAATTCCACAAATTAATACTCCTACTTCTAAAAAGAAAGTCAAATAAGAACCATCTCAAATTGATCAAATACCTTCATATAATATCATGTAAGATTTATTGCAAATGCCTTCTTCTGCAAAAATTGATCAACTTTTATAATATCTAAATCAAAGACGTAATTTTGCTCAAGAATTAAGAAGACTGAAAATCCAAGAAACAAATTATGCTAATCAAGAAAGTGAAGAAAAAAAAGAAGATAAATCTACAACTATTTGCTATTATATTAGAATTAAAGAAAATCCTGTAGTTGCTATCTTAAATTCTGAAGCTGCTGTCAGTATTATTATCAGAAAATTAATAAAAAAGGTTGGATTATCACCTTGAAGGAAAATTGAATTAGTTTTTTTAAAAACTTTTATTTTTAGAATAACTGATTTATAATAGCATGTTTTTGTTAAAGCTCAATGATCTATCTCTCAAATAAACCTTAGGCAACCACCTAGGTCAGATTCATTTTTGATAGTTTACTCTACTTAAAGAAATAGTTTTTATCAATTCAGTATACTCTAATAGAATTAAGGATCAATTTTACATAAGATTTACAAATACTTTAATAAATTGGATAACCCTATAGACTTCTTCTAATAATAACTATTATAATCTATCATATTCAGAATAAACTATCTTTGAAAATCTTACAAAGTCAAAAAGCTTTAAGACAAAATTATTTTTTAATATTTTTCATAGATAAACTATTCAAATGACTCCAGATCTCTTTTAAAAAAGAATAATACATTCATAGAATGTAATAGATACTTTTTTAATACAGGTTTTATAGAGATATTTAAATATATAGGCCATTTAATTAAATGTGGTAATATAGTGAAAATTGACTTACCTCAAATTATTAATATTTTCTTTTTTCATCAATTAATTCTGAAAAACTGTACCTTTT